CTCAGACTGATCTCTTTCTAGATTAGTCAATAAATCAGGATTAAAGCAAACCCTGAAGATGATGTGTGAACAGAGTCATTCCAGCAGCAAATAATGCTGTACTGAACTCTGCCTTTTTAAATGTCTAAAATAATTTCTAAAAAGTTTCCCTTCCTTATGAAACAGGCTTCTATTTCTCTATCTCATATTCAGAATGCTTGAGAATCGCTTTTGAATTTCTTTTGGAAGTATATCTGAAGTGACTTTATTGTTGGAACGTGCTAATAATCCTACCGCTGTTCTGACTTTCTGTCACAAATATTTCTTTGAACCATACTAAGCTTGCTGTACATTCCAAAAATCGGGGGGGGGGGGGAATCCGAATAGGAGGAGTTCCCTCCTGATGTCTTTGCTTGAGATTTAATGGAAATCTGAACAGATAATAATGAAGAAGAAGAAGAAGAAGAAGAAGAAGAAGAAGAAGAAGAAGAAGAAGAAGAAGAAGAAGAAGAAGAAGAAGAAGAAGAAGAAGAAGAAGACGAAGAAGAAGAAGAAGAAGAAGTTGGAAGGGACCTTGGAGGTCATCTAGTCCAACCCCCTGCTCAGGCAGGAAACCCTATACCATTTCGGACAAATGGCTGTCCAGTCTCTTCTTTAAAACTTCCAGTGTTGGCACATTCACCACTTCTGGAGGCAGGTTGTTCCACTGGTTAATTGTTCTAACTGTCAAGAAGTTTCTCCTTAGTTCAGACTTCAGGTCTTTCACAGGCATATGTCTTAGTCTCCTCCTTGCTAAATAAATAGAATGTCAGGCTATACCCATGACAATTTTTCCATTATTTTTCTTCTGTGAAAGACATTTCCATTAAATTTAATGAGAACTGAGGAAAAAACAAATCAGAAGAATATTTCTGTATGTCATGAGCTTAAATAGGCATAGATTTGAGAAGAAAGTTGTATTTTATTGGCTGGATCCCTCAAGGGGAACAATGAAGGTTCCAGGTGTGCTTCCTTGGGGAAGACATTTGAAAAGGTAGAATAATTCATAGACATCCACTGGATCTACTACAGTTGTCAAAAAGTTGAAAACAGTATTATACAGTTTCAGTGATCTTCCCAGCCAGCTTCCAACAAGCAAAGTCAATGTGGAAATCAGAATGGGAAGTTGAAAGTTGCAGTCATGTGACGCCTCATTTAATGACTACAGCAACAAGGTCATAAAATTGGGCGTGGTCCTGTGATGCCTCACTTAATAACCACACCGCTTAATTTTCTGATCTTTGTTATGGCCATAAATTGAAGATTACCTGTAATGTGGTGGATGTGCAAATCCAAAGGGCAAAATGTGATCTGCAGAATGTATGCCTATTACCTGTGGAGAACACCTTATGCCAGGGGTCGTCAAACTTAGCCCTTTTATGACTTGTGGACTTCAACTCCCAGAATTCCTCAGCCAGCGTGCCTGGCTGAGGAATTCTGGGAATTGAAATCCCCAAGTCATAAAAGGGCCAAGTTTGAAGACCCCTGCCTTATGCTAAATGCATTTTTTCCCAACATTGCATATTAGCAGTCACTAAATCCTAAGAAAACTATGTTGCTTTAAGGTACTCCAAATCACATATTGCTCAGCACAGCCCTGATAAATCCTAATGGAATGGTTCTGTTCTGCCTTTCCCCCCTCCCTTAGCCTCATTTCACAGGTTTTCTTTTAAAAAAGTTTTTAATGTGCTGTTTTAATTATCTATTTAGGTTTTGTAAAATACTGTGAGGGACTTTTAATATAGGAAACAGTAGAAAAGTATGTCAAATAATAGAGAGAGAAACATACAGTATAGCACATGTACCTTTTAATGTAATCTTAAAAAAAAAAAAAGCTCAGTTCAATACACCCAACTTTTCATATTTGCACAAGTAGAAATTGGGGGAGGTAGGGCTGGGAATGAAAAGACCAGATTTCCCACTGTAATCAGTTTCTTTTATTTCCTTCTTTCTTTTTGGCTTTTGGAATGTTATATTGGAAACAACAGCAGCTCTCAAATAGGTTTATTTACCCATAAGCCAATTGGAGACTCTCCATCAGCTCTGATTCTAAGACATCTTGGTCTGGTTTTGAAGATTTCCACCTCTCAGAATGGTAAATAGAGCTGAAACTGTAAATCTCTTTCTCAAACTAATTCTGAGTTCCTCTTTAATGAAAGAATGCCAGGGTTGCCAAATTCTTTGTTGGAGGGGGAGAGGAAGGCTGCTGCATGATAGTTTACCAACATGGAGGACTGTCTCACAAAAACTGAGGTGGAAGGATGCAACTGTTTTCTTTCCTTCTGGGTCTAACTTGGGCAACAACCAAGGCCACAAGTTCAATAGTCAGGCCTTTGTCCTCTCCGCCAAATCCTTGCTGGAGTGATTCCTTCTGATCTGAAAAATATGAACCAGCTCCCTCTGATCCTGAGTCCAAAATGGTGACGGATGAAATCCTGGCTTCTTTTTCACATTGGCTGGCCAGATTGTGTGGTTAGATGAATACTTGTCTGATGCAGACAACAAAAAACAAAACTTGCTACTTCTTGCCAATTGAGTTGTGTTCATCAAAAACATTATTGACATTGTGCCACTGTCATATACCCACAATGTCTTCATTTTCACTTTAAACCAAGCCATTCCTTTGTACAAACTGTTGTCTTGGACACCCTTGCTTATGTTAACGTCAAGATTATCATGACAGCTTCCAAAACAAACAAGTAAATAAATCCCACATCAATCTCAAAGTCTCTTTGAGACAGTATGTTCTTTGTAGCTCCCACCTAAGAACACATCTTGTATAAAGAATACTATGCAAGTGAACAAACTGTGTCAGGCTACTTGAAACTGCGAATGTGTGGCTGTTGCAGTAGCTCTGAATGGGCTCCTCTTTTCTTCTCCTATTCTAATAAATCTCAGTGTGTGATATGGTGTCATCCTATCAGGAAGCTGCTGAATGAATGATCTACTTCACTGACTGCTGCTTGCAGAGATGGGAAAGCTGCCATTGTTATTACAAATGGGATGCAAACAGCTCCCTGTTTCAGATCTTCATGGGTTCCCCATAAAGCGGGATGAGAAATTCATCCTCTCTAAATCTTTTATGGAAACTTTAAAAATTGTACTGAGAGCTAGGGTTGTGGTCTACATTTGGGAAAAGACACTGCAACCAGGAAGAAAAATCTCTCCCCCCCCACACACACTTACTTGCCCAAAGACTAAACTCGTGCTTTCTATCAAAGGGCTGTAAAATTTTAAAAACTTGAGAAGAAATGGACTCATTCGAGTCATTCATTCATTATTGTCCCCCACTCACAATTTACTCACAAGCATTCACACAGGGGTTGCAGCTTTCTAATTAATTGAGCCACACCCTGATTTATTTGGGAATATGCCAACATCCACAGGCAACCTCACTCTACTCTGTCCCTTAACCTACAAAAGTGGGTGGGGTATAGGATAAGAGAAAAGGAAATAAGAAAATGGCAAACAGAAAAGAAGCAGAGGCAAACATCTGGGAATTTACAACTACTACAGGTAGGCAAGAGGGCTATCAGTCAACTGTCAGAACCACAAGGTACAGCAAGCAGCACATCCTGATGGAGCTTGGCTTGGTAGCTCATCTGGAGTACTCAGAAGGGACACTGCTTAAGAGCAGAGCTTGGAGCATGTCCAGGGCTCAGCAGCAAACAGAAAAGGAGCAAACACAGCAAGACAATTTAACAAATGCTAACACTTTTAAGGACTGAACATTAAATCTTATTTATGCGGCTATGTCAACCTGCAAGGACTAAGGAGAGTAGAGTTAACCTAGGCCAGGGGTGTAAAACTCACAATGTCACGTGACATGTCGCAACATATCGCAACTTTTTTTCCCACTGCTGGCAATGGAGTGGGTGCAGTTTTGGCATGAGGCATCTGGCCCGCGGGCTGGCAGTTTGACACCCCTGACCTAGGTAATAACCTATTGTTAGGAAAGGTGTGCACTACAAAAAAAAAGTTTTATATAATTATCTTCTATGCTGTAGGCTTTTTAGAAAGTTTTACAACTCAAACCTGTACAAAAGTGTTCAAAAACACAGAAATTGTACAGTTAGGGTTACACGTATAGTAAAATAATAACATACAAAAGTCTGTAGATGATGACAATGGTGATTTGCCACTTTCTTGTTTGACACATCTTGTATTGGTTTACAAAATGAGTCAGAGTCAAACCAAATCTCCAGTTACTAAATGGGAAATTAGAGAAGGAATGAAAACAAAGTGGAAAGACTCACATATAATTGTGATAGGAGAATGCTCTAATGGAAGTTCTGCTGATGAATCTATCTAATGCAGAATCCATTGCCAACCAAGAAGGAGCTTCTTCCAGCCCATATATTCCCTGCTAGCATTCAGAGTTTCAGATCATGTAAGTTGAATTTGGCTATTGTGGCTCAGTCATTGTTAGGTTCATTGTCAGGTTCTGCTTCTCCTTTAAAGAAATCCAATGAATGGCCAAATTTTGTCATAATAATTTCTGTATATTTTAGAATTGGTGGATTCATGACATTCATATTTCAAGACTGCATCACACAAATGATATACCTGAAGTATAAGTACTTCATTTCAAAACTTTGCCTACAAAAGAAGACTTGAATTCTCTCAATAGTTGAGGTCTCCTAGAAGACCATCTTCTTGACATGATAGCAGTGCTCCAATATCTCAGGGGCTGCCACAAAGAAGAGGGAGTGAAGCTATTTTCCAAAGCACCTGAAGGCAGGACAAGAAGCAACGGATGGAAACTAATCAAGGACAGAAGCAACCTAGAACTAAGGAGAAATTTCCTGGCTGTTAGAACAATTAATCAGTGAAACTACTTGTCTCCAGAAGTTATGAATGCTCCAAGATTGGAAGTTTTTAAGAAGAGACAGGACAACCATTTTCTGAAATGGTATAGGGTTTCCTGCCTGAGCAGGGGGTTGGACTAGATGACCTCCAAAGTCCCTTCCGACTCTGTTATTCTGTTAAATTGGCTTCATGGCTGCCTTAAGTGCAGGCCAAGGTCTGGGGAGAAGCTTGGTGTTCTAGTCTAGAAACAGTGAGGTATGTCTTTATTCTCTCTTTATTCTTTGTCCATCCCTATTTTTAACTATTGCAAAGCTCAAGCTATTCATTTAGATATAAACAAGGTATTAAAAGCAATCCTCGATGTTTAGTGCCAGAGTGGAAACTCTCTAGGTGATAATAGTCAGAGATCACATAGCAACCAGAGCTCTATTTTATAGCATGGGGAGGAAATTTCAACATAAAGAAATGCCTGAGGTGCAGATAAGGCAATATATAGACAGTGCAATTTCATTCAGTTTTATTTTGTTGCAAACATGAAAAAAGGGAAAAAGAATATGAACGCAAAGCTAGGTAGTTATAACTGCAAAGCTAAAAGGTGAAGTTGAATTTTCTTGTCTTCCCTCTCCAAAACTATCCTTAAGACTATTCACTTTTTTAGGGTGAATATACTCTGGATTTACAGATATAAAGCATCCACTTTTTGTGATGCTTTCCGGTATTTGATGATATGATTGTACAGAAAAACTTAACAATGTGTGATATTCAATGCTTTTATATGAATCAGCACTTTCAAAAATCCAAGCAATCAATTGTGTGAAATATAGGAGAATACTTATTTGTAAATAAAGTTCATCCCTTCTTCCCTAGTGCTGCTTACTGTTTTCCACAAATCTATACAAATGGCTTCATCACAACTTAATACTATACTCTACAGAAGGCAATATCGGGAGACAGTAGGATAGGATTAGCCTCTTACCACAAAAATGTCTTGGCTGGTATCTTCACTATCCTCCACATCTGTTAAAATCAAATCTGCATTTTGCTCAGTGCAACTATCTGAAACAAACATAAAGGGAGAAGCTGTAGCACATTGACACCATGAAATGCACATGAAACAAAAACTGGATTTAATTAAAATTGCTTTTTTCAAGTCACGCATGGGGGCAAAGAAATCACATCCTGAATTGTTCTACAGTTACTGGATCCCAGCAAATCATCATTCGTTCTTTGGATGAGATGGGGCAACATCAAAGGGGAACTTTTATAAAATGGCTTTTTTTAATCTTTATTGTGCTATGTAAATCAACTACAGCATTGATTTCCTTGCCTGCCTTCACTATCACTAAAGCCTCCTGTGGAACCACATCTGCAGTAAATAGAATCCAAGCATGCAAATCAGGTGGTTGGGAAGATGAGGGGTTGGTTCTGTAGCTGCTAATATCATAATCACCATAGAAAATGTGGTAATCACCCTAGAAAACTCAGTGAGATGATGGGTTCAGGCCAGAGTTGAAAAGCAACATCAACCTCTGAGACTGCTAGTAAAATGCAGGTCGTAGATCTCTGCAGGTGAGTTGGGGGCAGCTGTCTCTCATGAATGACTATAATGCCCAGATTCCCAGTTCTCTTCACAAAATAACAACTCCCTATCTTCACTAGAAGCCCAGATATGGGAGAAAATGTGTCACCACTTTTCTACTTGTTTTAAAAGAAAAGGCTTGCTCCTAGCCAAGGAGTGAACACTCCTAGGACTGATTGGTGTGCATATTGTCAGCAGAAGGAAGTCTTTTTGGAATCTTCTCTGGTGGGAAATGTTTTCTGCCTTGTTAAAAAAGAGCACTTCCAAAATCATGACAATATAGCTATTAGAAAAAAAATAGGAGGAAAGGAAGAATTCATAAGATGTCTGCAATATTCCTTTTTTTAAAAAAGCAGGGTTTTTTTGAAAAATTAAAAAGTTATCCTGCAAGTGGTTAAAGATAAAGTTTATCATTTTATAAGCCTGCTATAAATGAGGGAGAATGTAAAGATTGCCTTAGGCCACAGGTCGGCAACCTGTAGCTCCGGAGCCTTCTCTCTCTCTCTCTCTCTCTCTCTCTCTCAGAAAAAGAGAGAGAGAGGGAGAGCAGAGACAGAGAGACCTTTTGACATCTAAAATGAAGCTAACACTGCATATATCCTTTTTTACTTTTATGATATAATAAAGGTAAAAAGGATATATGCAGTGTTATCTTCATTTTAGATATCAAAAGGGTTTTGTGGCTCCCGGTGTTTTGTTTTTGGTGGGAAACAGGTCCAAGTGGCTCTTTGAGTGTTTTGGTTGCCTCCCCTGCCCTAGGCCAATCCTAGGCCTAGGGGACTGGAGGCTAAAACATATAAGGAACGGTTGCTGGAATTGGGTATGTCTAGTTTAATGAAGAGAAGGACAAGGGGTGACATGATAGCAGTGTTCCAATATCCCAGAGGTGGCCAAAAAGGAAAGGGAGTCAAGCTATTCTCCAAAATAGCTGAAGGCAGGACAAGAATCAATGGATGGAAACTAACCAGAGAGGGAAGCAACCTAAAACTAAGGAGAAATTTCCTGACAGACCAATTTAATCAGTGAAACAATCTGCCTCCAGAAGTCGTGAATGATCCAACACTGGAAGTTTTCAAGAAGAGACAGGACAACCATTTGTCTGAAATGCTATAGGGTTTCCTGCCTGAGCAGGGGGTTGGACTAGATGACCTCCAAGGTCTCTTCCAACTCTATTATTGGTATTATTGTTATTGTTAATATCACAAGACGGCCCCAGAATCTGGAGAATTTATGTGTGTGGAGAGATATAGATCTATGATTTTATCCAAAACGCATTCTCCAGTTTCTTGTTAGGTTCAATTTGGATGTTGAGGTGAGTGGATGTTGGTGCCGGTTAGAGGGATGTAACAAGGGTGACAATTAAAGCTGATTATAGTTAAAATGCAATTTATTAAATACGTGAAGACTGGGACTATTTTCTTGGTATTCTTTCCTAGGGCGTGCTGCTTCTTCCTCATTCTAAGAACACACCTTGCTATAAAATGTCCCAAAGGTGCTTTTTCAAAAGGCAACTGGAAAGACGTTTTGCTTCTCACTGTTGTAAATAACTTCATATATTCAGTATTTAAAAACAAGCAGAACCAGGGAGGGGACTGAATCTTGAACAAAATGGCATTACATGGTTGAACAAAGGGAAAGGATGTATTTCCTTATTCAATTGATTTGTATTTTGTCTTTCTCTCTAAAATGACATTTATTGCAGCCAGCAAATTCTTTAATCTGCCTTTCAACTGTCCAGGAGCTGCTCAGTCTCCTTTGGATTAAGCATCAATTTCTTCTCCTCCATGTGGTCTATGGACTATTGAAGATTTTAGCCACAGGTGGACAGGTATTGTCTTGATCTGAGGCCTTCTCTTTTAAAAAGAAGGAATAAACTAATCTAAAAATCTCAAGGTTAGGTTTTTCTCTCTTTGTAGCTCTGCTTTGTAGGTTGTTCTGTCATTCGCATTCCCAGCTTGTTCAGTCATTAGAGCAAGGATGTCTGACCCCTGGGAGTTATGAGCCTTCTTTTTTAAATTAACTCTGCAACTAAGACACAAAGTCTACAACTACAAGCACACACAAGCATTCCAAGAGTATTTGTGCAACATCAAAAATGAAGGATGCAAAAGAGAAAACTGTATCACATTTAGTATATTTAAATGCGGATGATGTGGTGGAATCAAAGCCAGAAACAGCTGCCCAATTACTGGTGATGCCAGCAGTACTGGAGCCAGACCAGCCATTTCACAGGACCCCTTGTTCACACCCACTGACAGGAACTCAGGCTCAGAAATATACATACCACACATACATGTATGTGCATATGGATGGATAATTGTTATGCGAAGATTGCACATAACATGTGCTACTGAATGTATACTGAGAGCAATACATACCGTACATTATTGCAATCAAACTTTCATTTCTACCTGGTTTTCTATCTGCTCCGAAAATGAGGAGGCAGAGGGAGAAAAGGGGCAAAAGAAAGAGCCAAATGCTTAAATCTTAAAAGTGTGATCTTTTGGAGCAATGGTGAGGAAGCGACCAGAATTAAAATTGGTGTTGTTTGGAAAGTTGGAGCTAAAACTGAATTCAGCTGATGGAAGGTCCCTGCAATATAACCTTTCTGTTCATTAAGAGTGAGAAGGGACCCAGCAATGTGACCTTTCTTGACTTGGTAAAGTCCAAATATGTTGAACTACAACTTCTGCCATCCCCAGGCCCCATGCTACTCTATATCACCCCTCAACATATGCTAGCATGTGGGCTGGGGATGACAGGAGTTGTAGTTCAACGTATTTGGACGTTACCAAGTCAAGAAAGGTTGTACTGCTGGGTCCCTTCTCAGCTCTCCCCTCCCGCTGCCAGCAAGCTGGTATTTTCCAACAACACAACACAAGAGGATAAGCCCATGAAAAGCCTGGGCTAAGGGAACCCACCCAGAAAGTAAACTCTCTTCTTCAGAAGGGATTTCTTTTTTCAAGCTCTGAAATAAATCTCCCAGAGCTTTCTAGGCTAGGAAAAGCTTAAATACAGTCAATGGAAAAGAGGCAGAAGAAGTGACAAAACATTATGACAACAGAAACTGTAAAACAGACTTTAAAAAAAAAAAACAGTCAAAAGCAGAACAAGTTTGATGTCAATCCCTGTGTGAAAGATGACAAGAATAAGATATTTCTCCATTTCTCTTTTTTTAATACCTTCTTATATGAGATTCAGATCGGTTCTAGAAGAATAGGAATAACTTTCCCTGAATGGATTATTAAAATCAATTGGTAATACTGTGTCCATCTGTCCCGGGTGTAGAATTCATGCTTGCTACAAGAAGCAATTACTATCTTAACGAATAAACTTCAACTTAAGAAGATGTTATTTATTACATTACTTATCTCTTACATTAATTTATGTAAAATGTTCTTTAAAATGGAAAGGTGGAAAGAAAAAAATCCAGCTCTCTTTCTAAGAATGCCATTGAGCTCCATATGGGTTGCGTGGTCCCATTTGAAAATGGAGAAAAATGCTAAGAGATTGTTTCCAGGAAAACTCTAAATAAATGGTACATAAACCATACATTATGGACTGGCAATGTGTAATTTAAATAATTCAGCTCTCGAGAGCAGGACCAAGGCAAAAATCCAGCAGTTCCCATTCAAAAGGTTAGTTCCCGTATTAAGGGTGCATCAACTTTAAAGGCAGTGGATATTTTATAGATACATTTTAATGAAAATCAGCTTAGCTATCATTCTGCAAAAGAAAGTATATATGGCTTTTTGGTAGTAAGACTCATACTTGGTCCCTGACTAAAACACCAAGCTTGCATTCTAAAAGTAGACGAATCACAAGAAAAAAGTGATTATTTTGATTTGCTTAAATTAGGGCTTATATTTGTTTCCTATTTCAAAATGACAGTTCCCTCAATTTTCAGCAATCACGCATAGAGGGACCTCTGAAGGACCACCACAAAGGACCAAAGATAGTGTGAGATCTTGGAGCTACAGATTTTCTATTCTTGATTTAAGTTTTTTTTTTAAATATTATTTTAAGTATGAAAAACAAGTAGACTCAGAATACTTTATTTGGCCAAGTGGATTGGCCAAGGAATTTGTCTCCAGTGTGGAAGCTCTCAGTGTACATGCAAAGCAACAAAATCATCATCATCATCATCATTATCATCATCATATCAATAGGGGGGAGTAAAGAAGATAAGATGGCTAAATGATAACACTACAGCCATACTACATTGATAAATATATAATATTTAAATAGACATTAATTTGAGCTTTTTTCACAACTTAAATGGTCTACTTTGCCATGCACCCATTTCAAAATTTAATTGTTGCAAGCAAAAGTAAATACTAAAATGCAACCACAGGAAATTCTTTTTTTGCTGAATCAGAAAATTGGAACAAACTTGTCACCCCCATTATTAGATACAGTATATTTGCTCCTGCAAATTACTGTCCCAAAGAGTTTGGTTTAGAATGCTGATACAGTA